CCCCCCCACCCGCAATCTCTTGATTACGAGTTTGGTAGCCTAACCATTAGTCTAACAACATCACCTGTCTCTTCTCTCTTTCGCTTTCCCTTTTTGAGAAAAACAAAAAAGACAAAACAACAACATCAACAACAACAACAACAACAACAACAACAACAACACCTCAACAAACTCGTCACTTACCTTGCGTTTGGCAAATGCTTCCATAACTGTAACATTGATGCGGTGTCTAATGAGCGCTTCCTCTGGGTCGCTTCCCGCAAAGACCTGGGGCAGGCCCAGTTCTTCCAGAACCTTCTGACGGTCCCTGAGCAGCGTCTCAGCTTTGATGACGTACGTTGGTTTCAACTGACATGGATCACACAGTCGGTGGTAGCTGTCGAAGTCCGCCTGGAATACGATGCAGAGTAATCAAATTACTTAAAATTCCTTAAAGTGAAATATAAGGGGGAAAAACTTGCAAATTTGCCGTATCGAATATTGTAAGAGGTCCACTGAGGTTTGAAGCACATGCAAAGATTGAAACCTGCACAGATTAGTAAGGGTAAACACACAACAACAAAATAAGTAAATAATACAACTAGACTAGATCTAAGCCTTCTTCCTCTTCGAACTAGAGTCGTTACCCGAAAGTCAGTTTCTTTAGTTCTTCATCATTTGTCCTATGGACTTTATGTACTAGTTGTGTCTGATCATGTGAGGTTGAACAGTATTGTGGGAAGCAGGGGGTTTTAGTCAGAGACAGAAAGAGCAGCTTCCCCAGAGATAAAAGATCATACATAAATAAAGCAAAAGGTTCTCTCCATTCTTAAAGTTGGGTTTAATTTTTTTGTTATGAAAGGGACACGGGGTGTTCTTTTGTTGTATTTTTTGTCCTTTCTTTTTTTAAGGGGGGGGGGGGGGGTGCTTATCTCATTGTTATTTAAAAAAAATAAAATAGGTTTTAAGAATGGGGCTAGCGGTAGCTTTTTACTTGTCCTTAGCCTAGTGCATCAAAGATTTTATCTCTCTTTCTATTTAGAGTAAAGAGACCGGTGTCTGTGATTTGCACACAGGTGACCTGAGTTCGACTCCTGTATGGGGAGAATTTTGATCGAGTATGTTGATCTTTCTCCTGGGACGTTTTATCCATTTTAGCTCGGGTTGGCCCTGATAGGCAGGGTCGGAGTCTGCCTCCTAAATATTCTGAATTGTGTGGATGGGGTCGTAAAAACAGTCTCTTCATGACAGAAAAGGAGAAAAATGTTTCTCACCTCATACGACGCGAGTATATAGTCTACAAATTCAGCAAAAGTGGCGTCCATTCCGCACAACTTGGATTTTGTAGGTGTTCTAACTATTTGATCAAATCCACGGTTTTTCTCAATTTTGACACCCACAGAGTTCCATAGGTCCGGTAGCATTAAAGTATGCAAGAAAGTGCTCCAAAGTCTGGTGTATGGATCCCGGACAGACAAGAAAATCCTGAGAATAAAGGGAAAAAATAAGATTATGAAAACAAAAATCTCGACCATCATCTTTTTCCTGCCAATTTATGTTCCACACACAAACTATCATTAATGAAACGTCATGCCCTCTTTTGCAAGTTTGCGAGGGCATGTAATTATGAAAGAGAATATTGAACACTCTTATTTCATGTTCATTGTAAAGCTGAAGGAAACTCGTGACCTTTCAGCTTTACTTTTTACTTTAACTTTTTCATCCTCTGTTGCCGTTAAGCGTAGAGGGGAGATTCAGTTTTCTATGGTAAGCCAAATCTTCGGTTCTTTTAATCGGGAAGCTATATTTTCTAAGGGTTTCCTTGACTCCCTCTATCCCTATTTCGAACGGTCTTTTTACACCCAACGGCGAAAAGCCTAACCATTACCCGAGACGCTGGCATAGCATTATATACACGGAATACCACTTCATTATCAAAATGTATTGCTGACTCGAGCTCGGAAGTACTTGATAAGTCACGCAAACCTTGATGATAAGAAACGTGTCCGTTCTTCAGCTGGAAGTCTTGCCCAATAGAGTTTCTTGGTCCTGGCAAAACGTCTAGACAGAACCTGTAAAAAACACGAGAGCGACGAATAAGCACCAGTGCTCGTTGGTAGAAAATTGAAAGCCATATCATATAAGATACATCTCCTTCTCTACTTCTTGTTTTCATTTGTTTTGCTCATTTTAGTTTAAATATCGCGGAAACACTCAACTTAAAACTGGATTAAAAACAAACAAATAGAGCAAATAGCATCCAAATATGCCACCGAATGAATACTTGGCCACATACACACACAAGCGATCGCGCGCACACACACACACACACACACACACACACACA